AAGTTGTTTTCAACCCTCATAATTGACTTTTGACCCTCATGAAAATTTAAGGAGCTCAAGACTTCAATGGAAGAAGTAACTGCAGATGTGATGGTGAAGAGGGAGACTCGGGCATCTCAGATCTACTTCCCCTTCGACTATCACACTGCATTTCAATAGAAGAAAAGGCTGACCAACTGGTGCCTCGGGTTTCACCTTCCTGTAGGTGGCAGGCTGGGTCTTGGGAAAACTCTCCGGAAGGCACTATTTTTACTTAAAACAAGATCAAACAGAAACCTTTTCATATGTAATTCCTGTATCTGTAAACAGACCCTTTTCATATATGAACCTAAAATTTTTTCACCTGTAATATCTAAAGTATAAGCCTACATAAAGGGAAAACCTCCCTTTGTTAGACGAGCTAGGTTTTGGACAAATTATCGCCCAGGCTTCCGGCCATAATAACAATAACAACAAATAACAAATAAGCCCTCTTCCTCCTGCATTCAGTGTTCAAGAGATCCATTTCCTGCGGCTGCAGGAAATATAATAATATAATAATAATAAATATATTATTATTATTAATAAATATAATGATAATAACAAATAACCCCTCTTCCTCCTGCATTTGGTGTTCAAGAGATCCATTTCCTCCGGCTCCTCCTGCTACAATGGAAGTAGCAAGACAAGTGGAATTAGAAGTAGAGCCTGAAGATGCCACCAAATTGCTACAATCTCATGATAAAACCTGAATGGATGAGGAGTGGCTTCTTATGGATAATCAAAAAATGTGGTTTCTTGAGATGGAATCTATTTTTGGTGAAGATGCTGTGAACACTGTTGAAATGACAACAAAGGACTAAGAATATTACAGAAATTTATTTGATAAATCAATGGCAGAAAGAAGTTCTACTATGGGCAAAATGCTATCCAACATCACTGCATGCTACACAGAAATCTTTTGTGAAAGGAAGAGTCAATCAGTTAACAAACTTTATTGTTGTCTTAGTTTAAGTAATTGCCACATACAGCTCAATCATCAGGAAGTACCACTCTGATCAGTCAGCAGCCATAAAAACTGAGGCAAGATCCACCACCAGATTACATCTCAGTGAAGGCTCAGATGATTGGTAGCATTTCTCAGCAATACATTATTTTAAAATTAAGATAGTTGAATTGTATTTTTCAAACATAATGCTATTGCATACTTAACACACTACAATACAGTGTGCACATAACTTTTTTTTTTTTTTTTGGAGACAGAGTCTTGCTTTGTCGCCAGGCACCAGGCCGGAATGCAGTGGCGCAATCTCGGCTCACTGCAACCTCCACCTCCCAGGTTCAGGCAATTTTCTCCTGCCTCAGCCTCCTGAGTAGCTAGGACTACAGGCGCGCACCACCACAACCAGCTAATTTTTGTATTTTTAGTAGAGACGGGGTTTCATCATGTTGGCCAGTATGGTCTCGATCTCTTGACCTCATGATTCACCCGCCTCAGCCTCCCAGAGTGCTGGGATTACAGGCTTGAGCCATCGAGACTGGCCACACATAACTTTAATATGCACTGGGAAACCAAAAAATTTGTGATTCACTTTATTGTGATATTAACTTTATAGGGGTGGTCTGGAGAAAACCAAACCAGTAATATCTCTGAGTTATGCCTGTACCAAGATGGCAGATTTAAAACCAATTATATCAATACAACACTGACTGTATATATGGAGCAAACACTCCTATTAGAAGGCAGAAATTGTCATTCTGAATGAAAAAAGCAAAACCCTACTATATGTTGTCTACTAGAATCTACTTTGAACAAGGCAGCCAAGTTAAAAATGAAAGGACAGAAAATGATACACCACAGAAATGTTAACCATAAGAAAACTGGGATGGCTATATTTATATCAGAAGAAATAGATCTTGATTACATCCTGAACCAGAAAAAAAAATTCAGATGATAACTGAAAATAATTGAATGAAGTCTATAGATTAGTTACAAATGTCGTATCAATGTTAATTTCCCCATTGTGTAATTGCACTGTGGCTATATATAATACTAACATTTGGGGAAACTGAATGGTATATGGGAGTTATCGGTATGATTTCTGCAAGTTTTTCCTAAGTATGTAGTTAGTGCAAATGAAAAGTTGAAAAAATTTTTAAAATTCAACTTTCTGCTCTTCCAAAGATACTACTAATAAAAAAACAAGTCACAGGCTGGGAGAAGGTATTCTTTCTCCTAAGGCTGTGAATAGTATTTAGCATATTAGTCAAATAGTGTATTTGACTAATATGAAGGAATTATATACAAAATATATAAAGAACTCCTACAGTTCAATAATAATAAGACAAATCAATTTTTTAAAGGGTGAAAGGATTTGAAACAACAAAAAGAAGATATATCTAATGGTCAATAAACACAAGACACTCAACACCAGTCACTGTGAAAATTCAAATCTGAAATCACAATGAGATCTCACAATGGTTCCCTACCCATCAAATGAGAAAATCTAAACAGCCTGACAGCGCCACATGTTGGTACTCAGGTGGTACAGCTGGAACTTTCTTCCATTGCTTATAAGAATAAAAATTATACAACCAACCTAGAAAATTTAAGAAACCACTTATTTGCTTCTTGAGTTAAACATACACTTATCATATCACCCAAGCAATTCCACTCTTAGATTTTCACTCAAAAGATATGACAACATATGCCCACACAAATATTTATACATGAATGTTCACAACAGCTTTATTTAGAATAGGCCAAAATCAGAAATAGCTCATGTGCCCATTAATGCATGACACTTACTGTGCTATATAGGCATAGAAAGCAATATTACTGAACAATAAGATGAACAAACCACTAAAAAATGCAAAAACACAGACAAATCTCAGATACAAACTGGAATATCCACACACTAAACTACTTTCCAACATTAAAAAAGTATAAAGTATTGATACGTGGTACAATATGGAAGACTCTCAACATAATCACACTGAATTAAAGGTAGACATTTAAAAGTACCTACCCTATGAATGTATTCACGTAAAATTCTTTTTTAAAAATCTACTTTTAAGTGAGAAAGTGATTAGTGTTTACCCTGAACTAGAGGTGGAAACTGACTGGGAAGAGGCATACAAAAACATATAGACAGGGGTGACAAAAATGTTCTCAATCTTGATTGTGGAGGTGGATACATGGGTGTATATATTCATCAAAATCCATTTATACTATACACTTAAAAATGGATTCATTTTATTGTATATAATTTGTAGCTCAACTAATTTTTATTTTTATTTTTATTTTATTTTGTTTTCTTTTTCTGAGGCAGAGTCTCACTCTGTCACCCAGGCTGGAGTACAATGGCATGATCTTGGCTCATTTCAAACTCCAGCTCCCAGGTTCAAACGATCCTTCCACCTCAGCCTCCCAAGTTGTGGGACTACAGGCATGTGCCACCACGCCTGGGGGATGTATTTTTAGTAGAGATGGGGTTTCACCATGTTGGCCAGGCTGGTCTCAAACTCCTGATGTCAGGTGATATGCCTGTTTCAGCCTCCCAAAATGCTGGGATTGCAGGCATGAGCCACCATGCCTGGCCTAAACATTTTTTAAATGTACAACATGATGTTTTAAAATATCTAGAGCACTACATGCCAGCACAGAACAACTTTCTCTTCAGTGTCTGAAAGTGAGATGAAAAGTTTACTAGAAGTCTTCTCTTAATGTATGTTCCAATATTTTTCTTAGCCAGGATCAAGTGTATAATGAATTGTTTTAAAAATGGCAAGGCCAGCTTTAGCCCAAAGGTTAGAAAACATCCCAAATGAAAAGACAGTGAGTTTCAGAGTATGCTAGAATGCTACCATATTGGCATTGGTAAGAGACAGCTGTATAAGGTAATATTAAAACTCTAAGCCACAGTATTATGTGAATATTAATGTAAACTTTAGGTTAAACATTATGCTAAAACTTATATATTCACTATCTTATTTAAATCTATTTATAAATATTTAAGGGAGATACTTCCATTTTATATAGATACAGAGATGAAGAAAGGTAAAATACTTGCTCAAAGATAAAAGCGGCAAACTGGGATTCGGCCTAGGTCTACTTGATGTCAGTGCTCAGGCTCTTTACTGTTCTGCCATTTTACCTCTAATTATGCAACATATACTGCCTTTTGCATTACAGAGGATCCAGTGTTCTTACGAAGGTTCCTTCAAAAATGTACTCATTATTGCCTGAAATAATCCATAGACTAATCCTATGTGAACACATAATTTTACAGTAAAAATAAATCTTTTACCTTTCCTGTTTGCAAAGATATCTGTGAGCCTGCACAGATAACTTACAGAGCATTGTATTGGTCTCCTTATAGCTAGCTGCATTAGTAGGGCTTGGGGATGGTACTGAGAAAGCAGTTTAAAGCATGTCTAAAGCATTAGTTAGATTCTACAAAATGTCATTTTTATATTATATAGCTATCAAATACTGAAAATAATTATAGGGACTGAAGAGCTATTGGTCCCAAAGAACTTTCTCTATCTTTATTCACTAGTCTTCCCAAAAGACCCACAAAGTTGCTATAAATCACAGCAGAAAGAAGACAAAGGGATCTCAGAAAATCTCTTTTCATTGGTGAGAAGACAGCTAAAGCGGTCTCTCTTTCTTCATTCTATTTTTCTTTTTTAAAGTTGCTTACCTTTGTTTGTGTAATTCAGAATGGATTTTAAAGTTTCATATATTTCCTTAGCTTTCCTTCCACAAGTTTTGCTAATTGGATTTGCTGTATTCAAAATCTCAAACCATGTGTTTTGTTAATTTTTTGAAATGCATAGTAATGAAGTAATCATGAAGTTATATTAAATTAAAATTATCTACTTTAATGACTGACAAAAAGAAAATATTCAGAAAATAGGTTTATCTAAGAATATGTAAAATACTGATATTAAGGCAAAAATAAATTTGAGCATGTTAATTATATTTGTGCAAGAAATTAATGCAATTTTCATCCTACCTGAAATCACATGCTGTAGTAAATTCTGCTCCTCCACCTAATGCCCAACCTTGAACCAGTGCAACACTTATTAAAGGAAGTCTGTATATTGAAGGAAAACTGATGTTACTACTTTTAATTTCAATATTCATTTACAAATGTTATTTTTTAAAAATTTTTAAATGCAGTGGAAACAAAATTATTGCACTATCTTCATAAAAACAAACATGCATCAAAGAATAGAAGTTTGAACCTGTACATCATGAGAAGAAAAACAGTGTAATTAATACTAAAGATAAAATAGTTCACAATAAATGCCTGTAAGTTTATCAAAATACCTCCCTGAATCATTATATATTTTTAAGCTATAGCCATATTGTAACTTTCTTCCAAATAAATGGATACTTCTCAGCAGCTGGCTCTTCAGAATAATTCCATGTGATATTGCCTTTGTCCATTTTTATTGGTATCAGGTTAAAAGTTGGAAAATTAAGGCTATATCCAAAGGCTGGAAATGTGTCACAGAAGATAGAGCTTCAAAACTGTGTTACGAAGGTTCCTTCACAAATGTACTCATTACTGCCTGAAATAATCCATAGACTAATCCTATGTGAATGCATAATTTTACAGTAAAAATAAATCTTTCACCTTTCCTGTTTGCAAAGACCCACTTTGCAGGGGTGTGTGATACAAAGCAAATCAAAAATGTTTTGCAAGTATGGAATTTTTGTAGGCTCTAACCTACAATGCAAAGACGCAGGTCTACAGTAACTGAAAATTTCCTAATATACACTGCTCCCAAGTAAAAAAACTTATTTAAAAAATAATAACTTTTCAGATTTATCTAAGAAAAAATCAAATGCACTAGGAAATGGGAGGTGAACAGGGGTTAAGACAATGAAGACAGTATTTTAGAATAGTAATGTTATGATTCTATTACTCTCTCTAGACTCTCAGATACAATGAGTACCAAAAATAGATTGGTGTCCAATTAATAACCTTGCTTAAATAAATAAGAATTTCCTTAGTTTTCATAATTTTAAATTTGTCCACATTCAAAATATAAAATTAGAAAGCTAATCAGCCAAAACATGTCAGTTTGTAATCTCAAACATACCTTGATAAGCCAAGAAGAATTTTTCTTCTTTGCTTTTCTTTATCTAGGTGTAAAGTGATTTCATCTTTCTCAGAAAGCTGTAAAAACTTTCCAATCCATAGTTCTTTTTCTCCCCTCCTCTGGATACAGACCACTTCACTACACATTCTACTAATTTGGATTATTAGGTAAACTTTATGTGTCATCTCTTGATCAGTATGCTCTAATATCAGTATTTAACTTTCCCAATATCTATTCCTAAATATAGCTAGTTATATAAGCTCTTTAGGGAAAGGGAATATGTCTTAAATTCTTCTTAACTTTCACTTCTCTTATTTTTAAAATACATATGTATATACTTCATTAACATGTAATTAAAGGATTATTCTCTATGGCACACACAAAAAAATAGTGAATCATTAGAAAATCAACTAGTACAAATAATGGAATAGTAAAAAGCTACTTTTGGTCTTTTAGAAATCATATTTTAAAAAGAAGGATGCATTACCTCATAAATCTTGTTAAGGTGTTTTGCATAAACATGCATAGGGCCACTCCATCCTTTAAATAAAAATAAGCAGAAACACAAAGGTATAATGCAAATATATTACAAATTTTTAAAATTAAGATTTTAGAAAGTAATGAAGCCAAAATTATATCTTTTTTAAACAATGACATTTCCATTTAAAACTCTTTGATACTGTCTGAAATACAATGTTGTATTTGACTCTGTTGATATCCTAAGGCTCCTTGAGCTCAGTCTTGCATGATGTATTAGCAGAGACCTAGGGATAAGAGATAGACTGGCCGGGTGCAGTGGCTTATGCCTGTAATCCTAGCACTTTGTGAGGCCAAGGTGGGTGGATCACCTGAGGTCAGAAGTTCAAGAGCAGCCTGGCCATTATGGTGAAACCCTATCTTGGAAAAAAAAAAAAGAGAGAGACAGATCACAAACCCTAGAACACTATGGAGTTCTACTCAGAGTAATGTCGGGAGGAAAGACGTAAGATACACCCATCTGTTATCCTTAAGAAGAGAAACATATAGAAGAAGGAGGGAAAGAAGGAAAAAGTTATGTTAAACTTTGATTTTTAAAAAATATTTCTAAGGCTTTATCTTGGTATTGCCACAACTTACAATTTTCTTAAACAAATTTCTTAAGAGTAGTCCAAACTCACTGCCACTTCTTTTTTAGCTCACATATTTTCTTCAATCCAGTGTAATCTGGCCTTCAGCCTTATCCCAAAAAAAACTCTCCTCAAAAGCTTTTAATAGTTGGGCACAGTGGCTCACCCTTGCAATCCCAGCACTTTGGGAGGCCAAGGCAGGCGGATCACCTGAGGTTCAGAGTCTGAGACCAGCCTGACCAATATGGTGAAACCCTGTCTCTATTAAATAAATAAATAAATAAATAAATAAATAAATAAATAAAAAGCTTTTAATAATCTCCTACTTGTCAAATTAAATGACTCTTCTTTATTCATCTCCTCTCTCTCCATAACACATATTACCGTTCTTTAATCAGTTTCTTCATTGTTATGTTCGCTCTCACTTTCTAGCAACATTTTACACTCCTGATTCTCTTATTTCTTTTTTGCTCATTTCCGGTCTTCTTCCTTGACTCTTCTCATCCAGCTAATCCCCTAAATGCATGCAGTTTCAAAAATCCAATCCATGATTTTCTCTACTTATAATTTCTTTTTTTTTGAAAGTGCTAACAGTTACTAGACATTTTCACATTCTGCTAGCACCTCAAACTCAGCATGGCAAAACCAACTGAAAGTAAAAGAATTGAGTTTGAATCCTAGTGCTGCCATTTAATAACAACATGAACTTGAGCAAGTCATGACTATGTAATTCAGTTCCCCCTTCCATAAAAAAATTATTTTAAAAATCTGTGCTATTTGACTTAAAGGATGTTTAGAAAGATGAAAATATACTAGACACTCTGTAAAAGATTGCATAAATTCAGAGGTCTGTGTTACTGGAAAGAGTTAGTGTTAAGACTTCTGAGCTAAGTGGTCAATAAGACTCAGAATTTTCATACTATGTTTGACTTTCTCATTTCACATTCAATTAGTTACCAAGTACTTCCTCTCGGATCTTCCTTAAAATTATTTCAAATATTAATCCCTTCTTTTTATATTTTTGCTGCTGCTGCGTTAGTTCAAACCTGTGTTACTCAAGCCATGATTAGTATATAAGATGGCTTTGCTTCTTCTCACCCAAGGACTCAATCAGACCCTGCACTGATTAACTTCTGAGATCAGCAAGATTGGGTACATTCAAGGTGGTATGGGCGGAGACATCAGCTTTGCTTCCTGACTGATTTCTGTATTCAATTTCTTTTTCATTTTAAATATAATTTTCCATCCTGCTACCTAATAAACCTTCCTTAGGATGATGATAGAATAAAATCTAAATTTCTTGGCAAGACCACCGATACCAAACTATCTTATCAACTTTACTGACTACCGTGTCCCTCATCCAAGCATCCTAATTTCACCACACAAACTATTTGCCATTCCTCTAACACCTTACACTTATTGTGGCTCCTGTGTCTTTGCTTTTGTTATTCCTACTAGTTGAAATATGCTGTCCTTCTCTCTACCTATTTAAAGGAACGCCCAGATCATATAATATTTTTCCATCAATATTTTCTAAATCTCACAATAACAGTTTTCTCTTTTGTGTTTCCATAGTATTTTTATTTTTTTGCCTTAATTATAGTACTTATAAATTGTGTTGTGTGAATATGTGTTTAGATGCATTATCAGACTCATCATCTCTGCGAGGTGCGGACTAGAGTACATAATAAGTTCTCAAAATTTTACCAGAGATACAGAAATACAACAACTATCAAAGTATATACAAAGTGCTTGAACAAACTGAGAAGAGTGTCAAAGAAGAAATTACTCATTTTTTATTGGTATGGGGTTAGTTAAGAAGGCTTTATAGAGAAGGGCAGGTAGCACTTGCTAGGTCTAGACAATAAGTCCCAAGATGGTGACAGTATGCCTTCTCCCGCCTCAGACCCTAGTGGTTTGGCATGTAGTAGGTTTTTGTTGAACTTAACAAAATTAGATGAATTTTAAATGGAGAACTATGTTTATTTATAAAACAAATTCAGTCAAAAAAAGGTAAAAGACAATGTGGAAGGAATTTCCTAAGCCAAAGCTGTTATCAAGAAGATCAGTGTATCTCACAAATGATAAAATTAACACAGGCACAGAGAGCTAAAAAGCTTTCAAAATGAACTGATTTATACTCTGCTAAAGACCTTTCCAATAAAGCCTGTTCTATTACCTGTATCTAGTAATTTTAATATGCCTATTTTCTCTTGCTAGATTTAGATTACTTAAAATTCCAATGAAGTATCTAGAATTGGTAGACATAAAGGTGAAGCAAGTATTAGCCTGTGTGCTATTATAATTTTCATTCAAAAGACAAAAGGCACACTAAATGTGTCTACTAGAAGCCATATGAAATAAACGGTTAGGAGCATAGATTCTAAAGCCAACCTGACTAGGTTTGAATCTAGGGTCTAGCACCTTCTAATTAGTTTGACTTTGTCAAACCTGCTTAAACCTCTCTGTCCTACAGTCTCTCATCTGCAAATTGTGCTAACAGTAGTACCTATTTTATAACGGAGTTAGTAACAATTAAGTTATGGCACAAAATGAGGTTAGAACCGTGTCTAACATATAGTAAGAAAATAAAAGTTACCGACCATTATTATTAATATTACTAATACCAGCAATAGATAATGAGCATGTTTTGGTTTTAAGTGTATCATTAAACAGAAGTTTAAGCAGTATTGGCCAACATGCCCTAGAGATAAGAAAGATTTAATTAAATTCTTTCCCCAAAGCTATTAAACCCACAATGGTTAAATGCTCTGTCTTCTCACTGGGTTGAAGAAAGAAAACAAGCCAATAACAGATACCTGTGATAGAATAAGCTATGGGTAAGGAACCAATAAAAAGCTAGACCTTCTTTAATGTAGGAAAGCTGGAAGCTGAGAAGTACTAAAAGAAGGTTTTGGAAGCTGCTGCAGACAGTGATATCTTCATGCTCTCTGGATGATACCTGAGATCCAATCCTATTCCTCTAGCTCTTTCTTATAAAACAAGGATAAGGACAATGCTCAATCAAAATGCCAAAAGGAATGATTAACATCATATGTACTCTAAGTCATATTTAGAGTGGCTTAGCCTGTATTAATATCTTATTTAGAATCATAAATAATCCTCTTTCTTAAGTGCTTGTTGTATGGATTTGTTAATTTCCTCAAAATACATGGAAGGGTTTTGAGAAAATTAAAAATAACTTGTTTATTGACAAGGAACTTCTCTAAACCCTTCCATATATATGTAGATGGAATATTGCTCTGTCTCCTAGGCTGAAGTGCAGTGGCATGATCTCAGCTCACTGCAACCTCTGCCTCCTGGGTTCAAGTGATTCTCCTACCTCAGCCTCCCAAGTATCTGGGAATACAGGTACACACCACCACGTCCAACTAATTTTTGTATTTTTAGTTTCACCATGTTGGGCCAGGCTGGTCTCAAACTCTTGACCTCAGGTGATCTGCTCACCTTGGCCTCCCAAAGTGCTGGAATTACAGGTGTAAGCCACGATGCTCAGCTGCTTGTCTATAAATTAATCAGGCTATGGAACTGTACAATAGTAGTGGCAAACACAAATAAGTTACATAAGAATGTTGGGGTCACTGTAGACATTTAAGCAACAGAGATCTAAGGAATAACAGGTTGGTAGAAAAGTAACAAGGAAAGTTAAGGGGAAAAGGAGGATATAATCAAGGTAGATTAAGAGCAGAAAGGTTTCTATGTGCCAGACTTTTCCTTGAGGCATTATACCCATCCATTACAAAGTAGGCAGGTTTTTATTTCCCCAGTTCTGAAGCTTATAACTGCACTTTGATTACTTACTCCCTCTGAAAAGAAACTTCTTGTAGCCTACATAACATCTGTGGCATCAAATCCAAGTCTTAATATTTAAACATTTTTTGTTCTATTTTATTCCTTTGTCTTTCCCATAACTTTTCAGCAGTATTAATCTTTCTTTTATCCTAGTGGATCTCCTGGCCTCTACCTTCTCAACCAAGAATTAACTGCCTAATAGGGACAGTTGGAGCTCTTTTGCTGCACAACAAGCAAAGCATACCAAGCTGCAACCAACATGGGATGTTACACTTAAAAGAAAAAAATAGTAGAATAATAGATAACAAATATAAGAAAATGTTGATAGGGCTGATGCTGTTATGAGTACATGACGGTTTCACTGTATTAGTCTTTCTGCTTTTACTTATATTTGGTAATTTACATTAATAAAAGCCTTTTAAATCTTTGAAAAATATGTAGCAAAAACATCATAATAATTATCTTTTATAATAAGAAAAGCCATTTAAAAATCACTTTCAAGTATTTTATTACAATTAGAAGGGAATATAATCTAATGGCAAAACTTATCATATATTTCAGTTATCTCATCATCCTCAGAAAGCAAATTCACCAAATAAGTAGACGCTAGTGATGCATCTG